GTCGCCGAACTCACAGCAGCACAGCACCTGCACCGCCAGTTCGGCCACCTCGGTTAGCGGGCGCTGGAGGAGCTCATCACCAAGCAGCTGGTGCATGGACCACGGGTCATTCCAGCGGTGCTGCATCAGGCGGCCGACGGCGTCTGTGAAGCCTGCGTCACCGTGAAGACCACAGCTACAGCCCACGTCAGCCGCGGCAACCGACCTCAGCATGCACTGGAGGTCGTGCACTCTGACCTGTGCGGGCCCATGCCGACCACGGGCCGAGGTGGGGCACGTTACTTGCTAACACTGCTGGATGGTGCCTCCGGTTTGTCTGCCGTTCGCACGCTGGTTAGCCAAAACCAAGTGGGCAAAGTGCTGCAGGACATGGTGACGCAGCTGGAGGCTCGCCACCCGAACCATGCATGGGTATGCACACTTCATAGTGATAACGGTGGTGAGTATGTCGCCGAGCAACTGGAGCAGTGGCTACACCAGCGCGGCACTGCGCACACCCACTCGGCGCTGTACACCCCGGAGCAGAACGGAGCAGCGGAGCAGCTCAATCGCACGCTCCTCGACCGTGTGCGGGCTATGCCGTACGATGCCGCCCTCTCGGACAGCTATTGGCCGGAGGCTTTGCTCTACACCAACCTCCTGCGCAATGTGGCTCCCTCTCAGGGCCGGGAGGCCACGCCGTGGGCAGCTTATCATGGTGTCACCCCCGACGTCAGCCACCTGCACACCTTTGGCTGCCTGGCCTACGTCTGCATCCCAGCCAGCCAGCAGGATAAGCTCGGTCCCCACGCTAAGGCGGGAACCTACCTTGGACCGGAGCGCAACACGGCCGCCCACCGCGTCCTTGTTGATGGCAAGGTGACTGTTAGCAGCGACGTCACCTTCGATGACGAGCACCGTGGCCCGGCATCTCAACGGGCGGGCACCCCCTTCAGCACCAGCCCCACCCGTCCTGGCGGCAGCGACCCTGGCGGCGGCTCAACACAGCCTGCCACACCGCCAACTCAAGTGGATGCCCCGCCCCCAGTGAACCCAGCACCCCCCCTCCACCCTGACACTCGCAGTCAACAGCAACCGCTGCACCCGCCGCTGGCCCCGGTCAGCCTGGCCAACAACAGCAGCGGCGGCGACGAAGATTTGGGTAGTCCACCGCTGCTTAACAAAGCGTCGGGTAGCACCGATCACGCTGAGTTTAACGTGCCTGACGGCAGTGCCAACGGTGGACACAATAGTGCTGCACAGGAGCTTAACATGCCCGACGGCAGTGTGGACGGCGGAGGCAACAGCGCGGTGCAGGAGCCGCGCAATTATGAGGAAACGGTGGCGAGTCCGCAAGCTGACAAGTGGAAGAGTTCAATGGATGACGAGATCCTGTCGCAGCTCTCCAACAAAACATGGGAGTCGGGCACACCACCGCCCAGTGCACGCATCCTGGACTGCCGCTGGGTTTACAAGATCAAACAGGAGCCAGGCAGTGAGGTACGCTATAAGTCGCGTTTGGTGGTGAAGGGATTTGAACAGCGCGCGGGCATAGACTACGGAGAGCTGTTTGCACCCACCACGCGTGCAGCCCCCCTGCGGGCACTTCTAGCTGTGGCAGCGGCCAGGGGTATGACGGTCCATCAGATGGACGTCAAAACGGCTTTCTTAAAAGGCGACCTAGCAGAGGAGCTGTGGAGGCGACAGCCACCAGGTTACAGCAACGGCGACCCGACGCAGGCGTGCCAGCTGTTAAAGTCCGTCTACGGCCTCAAGCAAGCCCCATGCTGCTGGTACGAGAAACTGGCGGCGGAGTTGGGCAAGCTAGGCTATGAGCCGTCTATGTCCGACCCCGCACTATTCGTCAAGCGCGGGTCCGACGGCTCAATTTATGTGCTCGTGCACGTTGACGACATGCTGGTGGCGGCACACAACCTGCAATTGGTCGCGGCCACCAAGGCGGCCATAGCTGGTTGCTTCGCAGTACGAGACCTTGGAGAGGCGCGCTACTACCTCGGCATGGACATCATCCAGGACCGCCGCAAACGCAGCATCATGCTTACGCAGCACAGTGCTGGGCATCACTTAGATCGCCAGAGGAGGAGTGCTGAGGGCTTTGAGGATCGGCCTCAGTTCATTCCTTTTTTCCAAACGCCAAAATGGCCTGTTTATTACTTTTAAGGAATATATTACTTTAAAAAAAGACACTGAGCTTAGTACCGGCCATAGAGGGCTGTCCTTGCTGCTGTAAATTAATGCGAAA